TGTACAAGAAGCTTTTTGAGTGGTTGGCTTACTTTTATTGAAAAAATATTTCTCCTTCCCTCTACCCCACTTGTACAAAGAGCCTGCAAAAAGTCTATTGTCATTATTTGCAATTGTAGCTTTGTGTGTCACCAAATAGTTTTACATTATTACATTATCTTTTTTGTGCCTACAAATGCTTGTGTGCACATACTTGAATAGTCATGGATATATCTTTTCAATGATCTCTTGGAAAATTTGGTCTCAAATATACCCCTCCCCAGATGCATTTTCCTTCGAAGTTTTAAACTTCATACAGGGCACATCTACACAAGATGCTATGTTGCCGTAGCAATTAGTTTTGTCACCATAGCTCATTGCTACGGTGACACATCACAGCTCATGCCTGCCAGTGCTGCTGCCGGTACTGCACAATAGCAACAAGCTGCTGTGCAGTAGCTAATTGCATAGGCGCACTAGGGTTGGAAACCTACCTGTGCGGTGTTGGGACTGTGCAGTAATGGCAGTTATTGCGTGTAGTCATTCAGTACTTACTAAAGCCCGAACTAAGTTGGGTGCTTGTGTAGATGTGCCACAGAGAGGCAAATGATATTTCTTTCTTTAGATTTATGTCAAAATTACTAGTCCCATCCTGTACTTTCAGTTTAAGGGGTTCACAACTGCTGCATTTAATACTAAATTTTAAAACATATTAGGATGTCCTGTCTGGAATTTGCTTGTGTGTGTGTGTGTTTATATATATTTTTTCTTTTTTTAACATTACTAGCCCTATGCCTCTTGAGAGCAGCTTCTGTCAAAGCTTCCTTGCAAACATTAATGAGAGAAGTTTTCCCTCATTCTCCGTGTGGGAAAATAGAGGTTAAGCGACTTGTGCAGAGTTGCACAGTTAGTTATTGTAGATATAAGAATAGAACTGAAATTTTTGAGCTCTTGCTTCTGTGCTTTAGCTACGAGAAACATCATAAAGCTTATTATGAGGTGCTGCTTAGCTATCTCAAAGTCATGCTAGATAACATAGGCTCATTCTGGCAAGTGTAGCGGGAGTTGGAGTTTGTACTACTTGTGGATCTGCAGATGTGATATTTTCCCTGTATTACTAACCTAAAATGCTCCCTTATTTTCCTGATTGAACTCTCCTGAATGAGCCAATTAGGTACTGTTCAAAGCCAAAATGAGATGACTTGTTTTCACCCATCTTTTGCTGTTTCCTTTTGTAGGCATTTTTTAAATAAAACCTCTGATGAGGACTCCGCCTCAGAGAGGCCTTCTATGCCTGAGGGTGTTACCTCCGACCCTGTCACCCTGCGCCGCAGAACATTAGCTGCTGCAGCTGAACGGAGACTTCAGATGCAACAGAACTCCTAGCCCTCCCTGCCTCTTCCTACTTCTCGTGAGCAAAGTTAAAAGAAAAAAAATATCCTGTGCTCTTACTAGCAGGACGTGTCACTTCAAAGCTCAGCTAGCTGCGCTGATGAGTGAGCTGGCTGCCTCTCTGCTGTATAAAGCATGTGGTCTTAATAGTGTTTGGACAGCTGACAAATTAACCTTTTTTGTAATCTTTTTTTTGTGATATTTATCCCCCCCGACAAGCAAATGCAGTTTCTAAACCACGGGCATGATACCTGGTGCTAGCATGAGGTGTAGGCCAACTGCATGGCAGAGGTAGGGGAAAGACTACATATTCTAAATTAACAGCTGTTTGAGAATACTGGCATGTTTAGCTTGAGGTCATCCACAGGGAGTATTACAGGAGGGAAAAGTGTTGAGATTCGCAATAAATTCCCTATTAGGTCAGCAGGCATCCACTGCCAAGTTACACTTTTAACTCATTCTTGATAAGAGCAGTTACTTAAGCCTGCTTGCAGCCTGGCAGAAAGAAGTGATAGCCTTAGATGCTGGAAGTCAGGAGCAGTGCAGTCTAGCATGTTGCTGGCAATTTAGTTCATAGTCTGGATTGATTAGCTACATAACTTAAATATAACCTTGGGTTGTGTAGTGAGGCATTGATCACTTGTGTTGATCCCAGTTTAAGTTAGTTTTACACTTTCTGGGCTTCTTTGCACTAAGCTAACTTCTGGCTCTGCTCACTCTCCAGGGCTGCATTCTTTTTATGCATTTCATTGCTAGCAACAGAAATGGGATTGATGAGGAAAGTATGAAAAAGGGGCATGAAGCAAATAATTCAGTGTTACAGTATGCCAGTGGAACACAGTTGAAAACTGATAAGTTTGGTGACATGCAGAGAAGGGTCTGTACATGGATGGATGGATGAGACTGCACTGAAGAGACTAGAGATAGTTGTGGTGTCTTGCTTTTTATTTTTTAACCCCACATTAGATAGTAATACATCCATTAGCTTAACCAGACGTACAGAGATGAGAAAAATCAAGGCAGCTGGACCTTAGGGGATGTCACCACAGTTAACCTAACAATTTCCTTTAATTTTTTTAAAGAACTTTTGACATGAGACACATTTGGAACCTAGGTCGCATAGCTGAGTTTTACATGACAGTGTTTTAATTTTTAAATGTTTGAGGAGTGAGTTCTAGTATCATTGTCTTTCAGAAGGCACCAAGTATTATCTAGAATTACTGGTAACTTTTTTTTACTTCTGGTTTTTAGGACATTTAAGGGTGAATTGAATGAAAGGATGAATCATATAAATGCTTAGGTGAAGATAATTTATTTCATGAAATCTCTTTGGAAAGCCTTACCTTGCAGTCCTATTAGTAAACTTTAAAGACTTATTTTTTGTGATTTGGTTTTGCTCAGAGCACAGATGTTTGTTTTTATTGTTTAAAAAAATAAAAAATAAACTCTTGATCAGTATTGGCTATTGTTCTGATCCTTCCTTAATGCAACTTTCCTTGTTTCTAGAACATCACTGCTAGCGATTTCTTAGTCTTTAGAGCTGCTATAGTGCTTAAAGTGGGGCAACTCCTACTCTGCTAAAAAGAAAGGGAAAATATTTGCCAAACTCTCAAGAGATTGGCTTTGCAGTAGCTTTTGCAGGTAGAAGCCAAAGTGCTGAATCCTGTGAAAGATACAAGAATAGCCTGCTGTCTGTGGAAATAATAGAGATTGCAGCTTTAAGCTCCATGGCAACCTCAGCTCAATTAAAAATGCCAAATCGTATTTTTTTAATTTTAGGTCTTCATGAGTCTTCTCTCAAATGGGAGAGAATCCTAGCTGGACATGGCGGTATGTGTTGGGTGGAAGGAAAATTTCACTTATAAGCAGATCAAATTGCTTTTCTTCTCTGCTTCTTTAAGCCCTTGAGGAATTAGGTTTCCTTGAGCTCCTCCATTTTTGCCTTCCCCATGTGGTAGTTAGCAGCTTTTCTGAATGTGAAATCCCTCTGTAATAAGGCATCAGGGGTTTCTTTATATGTTGTGGGACTGCTTGGGACACTTATCTGATACATTGCCTATCTTCATTCCTTTGCTGCCTAGAGAAAAAAGAGTCTGTCAGAACTGCTGCATCTGCTAAAGGGTGTCCTCCTCTTTCTGTACACAAGGGTACTGGGAGTGTTTAAAGAGCTTGTTCCTACCTAAGAGTTTGCAGGGGAGCCACAGCACTCTGACTCCACTGGCAAGTTGCTTAGCATGGTTGGCATGCAAAAAGTCAACAGTTGTCCAAGATTCTTCTGGTCACTTACTGGTATGAGACATGGATCCTGTACTACATTCACACTGGCACAGAAAGCTCCACAAGCTTTGCTAAACACTGCTTGAACAAACCCAATCCTGCTTCAGCCTACAGAGGCCTCATAGTGGACTATAATGTGTGACAAACCTGAAATGGGGGGGACAAGGACTGATTAGTCTTTCGGGAAAGATTCCCTACCTTAGGGTAAATAACTTCCTTTCTCCACCCTTCCATGTTTTTCTATGGCATAAAGAAAGTCCAAATATGTGGAGCTTTACTTTGTAACTAAAGTAGCTGTCACTCGGAACCATGAAGGTGTCCAGATTTGTCGAGTGTTCTACTCATGCTTTCATCTTCACGACTCCGTGTCCACCAGGGAGCGTGGTTGCTTTATCATGCTGTCCAAAAATGGCTACTGTATCACAAAGGACTGACCACCAGCTGCTACCAAGTCCTCTTTGTTCCCATTCCTTTCAATCATCTGTACCTCTCCCAGCCATCCACTGGATGGCAGCCTCACATTGGAACACACCAGCAAAGTGTCATTCTATGTACAAACAGCCTTTCTACTGCAGGATTGAGACGGTGTTTTTGCCAATTCTGTGCTGGCTCTGCTTCCCTGAAAGGGTGCTTATCTGTGGAGAAGTCTGTATGGACAGTTACTGCCATCACCTTGTGTATCATGGAATAAACAACAGGCATCATGAAGAGACAGCCCACTGAACAAGGCACCCACTGAACACTGGGCGCCTTTGCTAACCTGTATTCTCTTTCCCAGACATCCTTGTTAGGTTCAGTGGGAGGTCCCCTGTAAAGTTAAGGTAGGAGGTCCCAGCTATTTATATGCCCCACTCTACTTCGTCAATCTGACTGGAAGCATGTGGGCCTCATTGCTCTTGGCAAGTGTTCTGGCTGCTTCAGCAGGCATATACTGAGCAGAGAGAGTGCCAGCCTCTTATCCCAGCTCTGCCAACGAGTAGTGAAAAGCCAGAGTGAGTGGGCAGAGCTGCCAAAGGAAAGAGGGAAAGGAAATGTGCTTTCTTGCTGCAAACCAGGTTTTGCTGGCATGGCATACAAACACTGCCACATATGGTGTTCAATTGTCCAGGACCAGAAGCAGAAGTGAGGTTGTGTTTGTGAGTGTATGCAATGAGGGAGGAGGAGAGAGAGAGCAATGAGAGAGAGAATGTGTATGTGTAGTGAGGGAGGCACAGTGTGTGTGTGTGTGTTTGTGTGTGTGTGTGTAGTGAGGGGGAGGGAAAGA